ACACTCATCATTGAAGACAAGGATAGGAGTGGTACACGAAACCAGTTCTATGATGATTGGGTGGAATATATATCGGCACGAAAGTGAGTGGAGATGGTAAGAAGATACGAGTTACCAAAGAAAGGGACGGGAAAAATCTCAGTTTCTCCATCAGCGAAGGCGAGGTACTCTCTGATACTTTTGAGGGAATCAAGTTAGATTACAAGTTTTGCAAGTGTGAGAATAGCGATCCTGCAAGAATAAATGGCCAAACGTTTTTAGAGATCACATTTCATGGAAAGTATAGAGGTGATGTCTTATACAAATACTTGCCTTATGTCGAGAGCAAGGCTTATCAGATGAGAAGTGAGAATCGCGTACTGATGGTATACACCAACTCATCTAATTTCCGTTGGGAAAAGACTACATTGATACATCCTTCTACCTTTGAGACCATGGCTATGAGCATAAACCTAAAACGTTCTGTACTAGACGACATCAATCTGTTCATAAGACGGAAAGAGTTTTATAAGAAGGTCGGAAAGGCTTGGAAAAGAGGGTATCTCCTTTATGGCCCACCGGGAACAGGAAAATCGAGCCTAGTTGCCGCCATTGCTAATTACTTGAGCTTTGATATATACGACCTACAACTAACCGGTGTACAAGACGACTCATCCCTCAAGAAGCTTCTCCTTGGGACCAAAAATGCTTCGATACTACTTTTGGAAGACATTGATCGCTCCTTACCGATACAAACCAATCCTAAGGTATATAGCTTTTGATTGCTCACTGAATATTTTTTTGTTTTTCTCTTGCCTTACGTTATGGATGGTTGATGACTTTAGGGTGGAGAATTGTCTTTGGCTGGGCTCTTAAACTGCAATGATGGGATTTGGTCATCCTGCGGCGAGGAACGCATAATCATTTTTACCACAAACCATAAGGAAACACTTGATCTAGCTTTGCTTAGGCCTGGCAGAATGGATGTTCATATTCATATGGGATATTGCTGTTTTGAAGCTTTTGTAACATTGGCGTCAAACTACTTGGGCTTGGACGAGGACGCTCTGCAACGTCTCTTCCCAGAAGTCAAGAGACTGATCAGCAAAGATGTAATCACGCCCGCTGAAGTCGCCGAGGAGTTGATGAAGTCAGAGATTGTTGAAGTGGCCATGGGGAATCTGGTTAAGGTTTTAGAGAGCAGGAGTTCAGTATCTGAAGATGATCGTGGGAGATAAATGATGTTCCATGAGTTTAGTATCTGGTTGCTGTTTTAGAGAGGAGAAGGTCAGTATCTGAAGATGATCGTGGGAGATAAATGATGTCCCATGAGTTTAGTATCTGGTTTAGTGTGTTTTGTACATTTTCCAAATAGTTTGGACCCACATATAAATAGAGTCCACGTTATAAAATCACTTTGTTCTAGTGTTCACCTTTTATTTTGTTTGTATATCTGATTCTTCTTCGACCAAGAGAATCGAGATATTGAAGCACACTGGCAGCGATACCTTCTCCTCGACGGTGTCCACATGAAATCCTCTATGTTTGCTCTTCAATTTTCACCTGACCCTCTGTTTTAATTTTTGAGCTTTGTGTCATCTCTTGTGATTTCTCTGGGGGAAAAGGCTGAAATATGGGGTTTCTAACTAGGGTTTGGGTGAGATACCGAGTGTTCGATGATCTGTCTGATTTGGTTAGATCAAGAGTTATAATGGATCTTAGGAGTGATCAAAGTCCCACGAGATACAGAGGATCCGTCGCATAGATCTGTTCACCGGAGGTACGCGCTTCTTCTTGATTCACTGTTCTGTGGCTAAGTTTGTGTGAATACAACGGATGCTTGAAGTTGTAGATATTCCAAATATTTAGTGTAATCCCAATTTTGCATTCTTTTATTCCTTAGAATTTCCTTTTTGGCTACTTGTCCAATGTCTCACTTGTTTGCGGTGTGGTGTGGTGCAGTTAGTATCTCGTTGTGATTCGTGTAAAGCTGGGGTTCTTGGTGTATCTCTATCCATGACTCATAAAGGCGCAGTTAATAGCTCGTTGTAATTCGTTAGTTGCTAGTCCGTAACGATGGAGATATATCATGGATATTGACTATTAGTTTAAAGCTGGCACACTTTTGATTTGTTCTTTCAGTTTTAGGTACAGATTCTATGGACCATTTCTTTGTTGACTCTCCACAATCCACACTACAGCTGTTAACAGAATGAGGAAATTTTGAATTTCTTACTGTGATGAAGAACATGGAGTAGCTGAAGCCTTAAGTTCTGATTCTTAACTGGAAGTGGGAGGTCTTTCGAACTAATATCTGTGACATGATTCTTTTCTCACTCCTTTAGTCCTTCACAAATGTACATGGAGGTCTAACGTATACATTGTACCACTTCTCATTTTTTCCTGCTTCTGGGGATGACATCTAAGAATTTTGAAGATTATCGGGAACTCTGCCTCGAGTTTTCGCATTACCCTGCCACAGGGTCGCTGTGCTACTGCTACATTTTGTTTCCCTGCCTTGGTAAAGTTGGCGGATATGTTTTTGCGTTTATGTTTCCTCGACTAATCTCAAGGAATTTATGGCCTTCTTTGCTTTTCAGTATTTTAAGTCTTGTCTCATTACCTGGTTATGGCTTCGTATCTCTCGTCCATTTATATTTGGATTGATTTATCTTGACCTTGTCTGTTTAGGATAATGCAACAACACTCAGGTACAAATTTTGTTTTCCATAGGCTTGGTTGATTGCCTTCAAGTAAACTTATCGCAAGATGATGTCCCAGAGTTTTGGGCTTTTAGCTTCATACATCGTAAATATGTCATGATGTCATTGGTGACTCTGTATAAGAATCGAAGCTGAGTTCTTTTCTGTGTGGGAAGCTTTCCATTTTATTTTTCTTTTGAAGTACCTTCTCTAATTGGCTTTCGATTCACAATTCACAATTCACAATTCACAGTACCTCGTTTCTCTTCTGAAACTGATGGATCTTTCTCTTGCAGTGGAATTGACCCGAAAGAAAAAGTTTCTGAGGGAGAAATAAAGGCACATTAGAAGCATTAGCATCTACCCAGAAGTTCTGTTACTACCACTTTCTCCGGGTTATTCACTAAAACCTGGCATGCTGTCTTATCCGTGCCGTTTTTGATATTGTCCTGTATATTTAAATGAAGATGATGATTGTTTTTCTTTCTCAGTAGTTTTGGGTTTTTGGGATTCTTCTCTGCATTGCAACGACTTTTGAAGTACTTTCTTACCTTGTAGGCTTGTAAAAATACAGGCAGGACTGGGAGAAACTAGAGGGAATGCTATGGTGTTGGTTGAAGAAGGTATGTGCAGGTTTACCAGCAGCATGCTTAGAATACATGTTTGCATTCCGCGTCCTTTCCAATTATTGCAATATCTGACCTTCTATCAAAATAGCGGATGAACAACAAAATGCTTCCCTAGGAGAAACATACTCAGAGCTGGTTAATCGATCGGATGGAGGTCTGTCTTTTCTACTCATTTATTAGTTTTGTTGCCTTTCTTGCAAAATATAATTTTGATGACTGTGTGACACCATGCAAAGATGCTTAGCATAGGGGCAAGAATAAGATTAATCATCTCTAGTTGACCACCTTAATTATTGAAACGGTCATATATGGGTGCTGGATCTGGATCACAAGTGACCCAGATTAGCTGTTTTGAGAAATACAAGCTAAGATACATTTTATATTCAATATTGCTTGTGAAGTTTGAACGAAACTGTGTTTCTGAAATAATCTTGTGATGACATTGAAAGATCAATAGCATTTAGGATGGTAATTTCAGGCCAATGCTGTGAGATTCTGATTGATGAGTTGGTTTCTTACTTTTCTTCATTCTGATTCCCATTTAATTTAGTAATTAACCAGGTCCGTCTACCACTCAATGGTTTATAATTTCGTTTAATCATGAGAAATTGATTGTTGGTTCTTCTGTCTTACTGAGTCATATCTTGTTGTACATTTGTATGGTGAAAAGAAGAACTGCGTTTAAGTTGCTTTTCAATTTTGCGATGCCAGGTCGTTATGCTGGGTCTGGATGCGGTCGTAAAAACAACTACACTTTTTACAAACTGCACATAGGAGATGTTTTGTCAATGAATCCCACGGTGGGTCCCATTTTGTTAACGAGTTTGTGCCACTTTCATAGCTGTAGCTTATTCCTGTTCTCAGCAGCTGATTTAGTTTGTGCTACTTTATATATTCGTGTGTATATATAGGAATGAGTGATAATTAAGGAGTTGTTTTGCCTAAAAACGAGCGGTTACAAATATGACCTAATACCTGGTCTGTCTTCTGCCATCAGTTGATCACAAGCCAGTGCCACTTACTGAAACTATGCTAATCTTGTGATGCCTTGTACGTACTTGTGAAACCAGGAGTCATATCCGTGGATTTTTTCTTATACAATGCAGTTGATCCCTGACGTGCTATCTCTTCCGGAGATCATATACGTCGTTGTTTTGTCGTGTTCCCTTTGGTTGCTTTGAAGACGTTTTTTGGTTTGCCGACAAATCATATGCAGTGCAAGAAAATCTGATGTTCACAGCTTGGGATGTTGGTGGCCAAGAGAAACTGAGGGCCCTCTGGAGGGCATTACGTCAATTAATACCAATGGAATTGTACGTATATTCTTACTCTTTTGGCTTTGTGCTTTCAGTCAAATATCTTAACTTGTAGGTTGGAGTATAACTCACATTTGGTTGATGTTGCAGTATCATATGTTGTTCGGTCAGCCTTGAGACCTTAGTCCTTCTTTACTGACCGTGGTATAAGATTTTAGTTACAAGTAGACTAACTATCTCCCTATCGTATGCTTGGACCMAAAAAAAAAAAAAAAATTCCCTATCTTATGCTTTAGTCTTTATCAATATCACGAATTAGAATCGAGAAAATTACTAAAAATACCATATTTCAAAAATAATCTTTCAAAGAGTACCATATCTCATAATTTATTTCAAAAACTACCACGTTTAATCTCTCTCTCTCATTTTGGTTACGAATCTAAGGTTTTTTATTCGATTTGGTTGAATGTATTGAAAAATTTAGATTGTATTTTGGGTAAATTTCAATATGTCAATTTGGGTTTGATTTAAATGTGGGTTAATTTTGTTCATCATGTTTTTCTGACTCATCTATGGTTTTGACGTTTTTTATAAACTTTGTAAAAGTTAATG